TTTTTTTTGCACCAAAATATTATTTCAAAAGCTGTTAGGATTGAAATTAGCCATTTGTTGAAAAAAAAATTGATTAGACATATATTTGAGGGGCACTTAAGGTCAACTTGTACCCAAGCGACAAGACTTTTGTCAGGGACTGTAGGTATTATTATTCTAATTTCACCTCAGTGCTACATTTGACACAACTGACCACAATATATTGCTAGATACTAATAGATAAACTGTAGATAAAGATAGATAAATAGAAAGGCACAGGGCTATTTTGTATCAATTAGTAAAAAGCACTTGCAGGTGCACAACAATGGCATGCAGAGTTCCCCTAGGCTCCATGTCTGGACCCTTCTGTTCATCATCTACATGTCTGTATCACAACAAAACATTTTACCATAGTTTTGCTGATGACACACAATGTATATACAAATATCACAAATTATTATATGTATTGCACCAAACATTCATGTGATTAAACAAAGAGAAAACTGAAATGATTGTGTCTGAGACTGTTGAAGAAATGTACCCATAGCTCTTATGCAAGGTCTGCTGTAGTGGGGTGTTCATTAGTATTCAGATATACAGTGGGCTTTCCAACACAGGGCGTGAGTCTGTGAAGGTAGGCTGACCCAGAACATTTGCAGAGTTGCACATTTTATAGGGTATGTCAGAGGGTAGGGAGGGACTGTATGTAAATACCGAAGTGAATAGTGGCTAGTTAGTATATAGTTGCTAATCAATGACAGGAGGTAAAAGAACAAAGGGTGATTGAATCAAGCGGTCTGATAAACAACAAATGGTAAGAGAACGAGGGTTACAAAAGGTAAGGGAATTATCAATAACAATGATAATGGAATAATGAGTGACACTAATGGTAGGTGTCTGTAGCAAAAGATGTGCTATTTTCTTCATCAAGACAAAGGAAGATTAAAAGTACACACAAGCCAGACCAGAACCAAATCTGTTTTGTTACGGATTCAGACCGAAATGTCAACATCCACATCAGAGAAAGTAACCCCCCCTCCAAAAAAGCTATACAGTAGTTCCTGCAGCAACTTTACACTAAAACCAATATCAACACCATAAGCTAAGAACTGTAATTAAAAGGACAAAAAAAAAACATCCAAAACATTCACCACATGAGTAAAAACAACAGAAATAGTAAATCAAGATAATGATACGCAAGATCATTTTGTCCCAAACATTTGGCTTGTGTCACAGGAACCAATTCAGTGGTAGAGCAGCAGCAGTTAGCTTAAAGTTTTTCTCACCTATTTATTCTTTAAACATTTTGTTAACAGTTATACAAGGTTTTATCGTACGTAAGGTTTAAAAATATATAGTTATGGCCCCAAAGTGAGAGTTATGCCGCTCATTTCCTGTGAGGCTGAGGAATTTTTGACGTACCCACACACCTATACACACATATATACACACATATATACACACATATGTGAAGAGTTCATTTGCAACAACAGATACCTCCATTTTTGTAGATCTTTGTCGATCAAAACTTATTTTTTGTTTTTTGCTTGAGACAATATCAATCAAACTGAAGTTGAGTGGATTTGACTCTGTAGAAATGACGTGACGAAAATATAAGTTACAAGATAACTTAAGTTTGATTGATGTTGTTTCAGACGATGGAAAAGTGGGTTTTTTGAAGGTTTGTGAAAATGGAGTTATCTGTTTTCACAAATGAACTCTTCATATGTACATATATGTATGTACATAGATTTTATGGAATTAATTACAAACTACTCATCTACCGGTAAATACAGATATTACATTTAAGTGCATTAGTGTGAAACAGAAAAACCTCAAGCCTTTGTGTATTTTGCTGTAAGAGAAACCTTACCTGTGTGTGAATGCTCCCCTCTGTTGCAGCAAGTTCATTCAGCTCCTAAAACCTATCCAACCAGCTGTACTATCATAGCACTCCCCCACTGCTCACAGACACTTACCCAACATGCACTGCAAACAAACCTGGAGTCAAAGGTTGTCCCAACTCCAATGAAACATTAAAAGGCTTCCTTCAGTCAACAGCATGTGACTCACTTAATGATTGTAACTGTTCATACATGATTAGCCTGTGCTAATTTAATTAAAACGTGGACAATAAAATACAGTGTCAGATGCAGCCTGAATGGAAAGGAAAGCTGTCTGGCTGAAATTCTTACTGAAGTTATCGGATACCTCCGAAACTTTTGAGTGTTATTTGTTTCTGTATTCTTGATACTTTCTATTACATTCAACATTGTTGTTGGTTATGATGTGTTTGGCAAAAACCTGGTCTGATTAGGAAAGACAATATTTATCCCACATTGGATGGTGTGGCTCATATATCAAGGAATATGACCAAGGTTATTAGCAACCTAGCAACCTAAAACTCTGACGGTCCAGAGGTGAGACCAGAAAGCAGAGTCACCGACTTACATGCTTCTCTGCTGCTTCCATACAACTGTCACTCTCCCAGTGTCCCACACCACAGGATCTGCAGGAGAGTTTTCTCTGGAAATGATTCCCATCTCTGAGGAGATGGTGGAAGGAATCGCTGCAGAAAGCATAACAGACGTTATGTGAGTCCGGAGCTGCAGAGAGAATAAAATGTCACAGAGTGAAGAACAAGATGTACGATCACCTGAGACACCAGGTTTCCTCTCGCTGGGAGGAAAACACGCAGCTTCAGGCTCTGCAGAGGAAACTGTGTCCAAACTTTAACCACATTTGGAGAAAACCGTCAGAACAACAAGTAAACTAAAGCGTGTTTCCATCCCGTCCAGTTACGCGACTCCTGGATCGGGGATGTAAACAGCTGCAAACATCTCATCCATGAAGTCACAGCAGAGCATTAAATTCACAAACGTTTCAATACCGTCAATCAGCCATTCCACACACCCATGGAGAAGCACGCTGTGCAATTCTAGAAGTGTAAAATTAACAGAAGAGAAGCTTTAACTGTAATAATACCAACACCACAACCAGAAAACAAATAAGGATGGATTATTGAATATTATACCTCTGTCATCTAAATCTCTTTCAGGGTGATGATACTCATCGGATACCTGACCATTAATGTCTGATGTTGTGTTTATGTTGATCCTGTCTGTCTGTGACTCACTGTTATTTTTCCATCCATCCATCCATCCATCCATCCATCCATCCAGCCAGCCAGCCAGCCAGCCATCCACTTTCTTCCACTTATACAGGGTTGGGTCATGGAAGCAGCAGGCAGGGCAGGTCATTCCAGACATCCCTCCACCCAGCAACGCTTTCCAGCTCTTCCTGGGGGATCTCGAGGTGTTCCAAGCCCAGCCAAGAGATTTTATTCTTTCCAGCAGGTTCTGGGTCTTCCCCGGGGTCTCCTCCCAGGTGGACGTGTTCAGAAAACCTCCAGAGGAAGCTTTCCTGGAGGCATCCGAATCAGATGTCCAGACCACTTCAACTGGCTCACTTTGATGCGAAGGAGCAGCAGCTGTACTTCTGAGCTCCCTCCGGATGTCCAAGCTCCTTCCTCACACTATCTCTAAGGCTGAGCCCAGCCACCCTACGGAGGAAGCTGATTTCGTCCGCTTGTTGCTCCCGCAGTCTCATTCTTTCAGTCATGACCCAGAGCTTGTGACCATAGGTGAGGGCTGGGACGTAGATGGACTGGTAGATCGAGAGCTTTGCCTTACAGCTCAGCTCCCTCTTCACCACTACGGTCCAGTACAGTGGCCACATTACTGCTGACGCCGCACCAAGCCACCTGTCCACCTCGTGCTCCATTTGCCCTTCACAAAACCCCGAGATACTTAAATTTCCTTGCTTGGGGAAGCAACTCAGGATCCCCCTGCTTGCATGATCAGATAACAGTAACAAGCCATGAGTAAGAAAGGTAAGAAGAGGAACTTCACAGAATGTGAGTTGGAGACGCTCGTCAACAAAGTTGAGGCCCGTAAAAATAGTCTTTTCAGCACGCTGTCCTCTGGCATCAACAGCAAACACAAGAGGAGTGAGTGGGAGAGTGTGTGTGAGGCGGTAAATGCTGTGGGGTCCGAGCAGCACACACTTACAGAGGTCAAAAAGAAGTGGTTGGACATCAAGGTGGACGTCAAGAGGAGGACTGTTGCTCACTGCCAAAGCAGGCAGGGGAAGATGAGAGGATGAACTCACCCCGTTTGAGCAGAGTTGCCTCTATTGTGGGTGACACTGCTCTCCCAGGGGCGGTGGGAGCACACGTGGGTGACTCGGCTCACCCCCAAGGTAAATATATATTGTGTATTTGTGTAACTCACAAATGTATTCATGCTCAACGCATGTCAGGGAGATTAATATTAAGACAATTAAATTATTTACTCACCAAGAAGCCATCCATCCATGCAGTGCTCCATTGGCAATATCCTCCAACCAGTGCCAAAGCTGCCATTGTTGTTAACGGTATCTTCTGCACCATTTTACGCATACTTATATCCACTCTAATTGCAAATGCCTGGGTGTGTTAATTGTTCATCTCTGTATCTCTTTAAGGAATGACCTTTTTCACATTTTTGACAGTTTCCCCAGCATCACCTGTCAGTGTTGCCAACGGCTCGAAAGCAATAGAACGTGCCCACGCCAGTTAATTTCCACAATATTTCACTGTTGATACATCTGAACGTGAGTGTGGAAAAGTGCGTACGCCACCTTTTTGTGCGTACACACCCTTTGTACATGAGGCCCCTGGTGTTTTGGCACCGAGGAGCTTCTTAACTATCTCGGCGACCTCTACCACGGATATGGACGCAGAAACCCCTGAGTCTTAAGGCTCTGCCCCCTCGACAGAAGACGTGCTTCCTGGGTTCAGGAGATCCTCGAAGTGCTCCTTCCACCGCCCGACAAGGTCCTTAGTCTGGGTCAGCAGTTCCCCTCCCCGGCTGTATACAGCCAGGGCAAATCCCTGCCTCCTGTTTCTGAGGCGTCAAACAGTTTGCTAGAACTTCTTCAAGGCAAACCAAAAGTCCTTCTCCATAGCCTCTCTGAACTCCTCCCACATCCGAGTTTTAGCTTCCACAACTGCCGCAGCTGCAGCCCATTTGGCCAGCTGGTGCCCATCTGCTGCTTCAGAAGACCCCCGAGCCAACCAGGCCCATAAAGCCGCAGTGCTCAGACCGGTGTGCGACCAACGATGACTTTAACAGAGTAAACCAGGATGTTCGAGTGTCAGAATTGTCCAAGATGAAACAGAGTGATTTTTTTCTCATGTGGTCTTTTCTATGAGCGGGATAAACAGCGCACATAGGTGCGTTGTTTTTTTCAAGAGAGGAACGTAGCCTAACTACTGCAGTACACCGAAGTTATAAAAGTCTGTTTTCCACCACTGTGGTACTGCTGCTGGGACACAATTGTACCGGATTTCAGGGTGCAACAGTTTGTGTAAAACCTCTGTGTGTCCCGGGAGTCATTCCAGTACATCTATGATCGGACCAGAGACGTCCTGGCAGAAAACGACACAACTCACTGCTTGTGAGTCCCATTCATTCATCTGCCTCAGTGGTCACGATAACCCAGCCCCTGATGCACTGGTGCTTAGCTGGTGGTTAGCTCTGGCCCCGGAAAGAGTTGGTGCTTGCTAAGCACCAGTTCTGAGAGCCTGGAGCCAGTGCTTAGGCGGTGGAAACACAGAAAAATGGTGCGAAGTCAAGCTCGAGTACGGAACTAGCTAGTTTGGTGGAAAAAGGGTAACAGTGGGTCTGAGGATCTCATCCCAGGACCTAATAGCAGTCAGGGTACCTCTGGCTAGCCCATGGAGGGCTGTGCAGCCCTCCAAAGAAATGCCTCCCCACAACATTACTGACCCGGTCATGCTGGAGGATGTTGCAGAAGAACGTTCTCCAGACTCTGTCACGTCTGTCACATGTGCTCAGTGTGAACCTGCTGTCATCCATGAAGAGCTCAGGGTGCCAACGGAGAATCTGCCAACCTTGGTGTTCTCTGGCAAATGCCAATCTCCCTGCATGCTGCTGGGCTGTAAGCACAAGCCCCACTTGTGAACGGTGGGTCCTCATACCACCTCATGGAGTCTGTTTCTGACAGTCAGAGCAGAAACATGCATATTAGTGGCTTGCTGGAGGTCATTCTGCAGGGCTCTGGCAGAGTTCCTCCTGGTCCTCCCTGCACAAAGGAGGAGGTAGCGTCCTGCTGCTGGGTTGTTGACCTCCTACAGCCCCCTTCACGTCTCCTGGTGTACTGGCCTGTCTCCTGGTATCTCCTCCAGGCTCTGGACACTGTGCTGAGAGACACAGCAAACCTTCTTGCTACAGCTTACATTGATGTGCCATCCGTTGATGGCACATCAATGCAGTTGAAAAATCTGAACTTTTGTGATCTGAAGTGCCGCAATGGCCAATGTATCTTTTTGGACGCGCCATCTTCGGACATTACACTCTGTAACTCCGTATTTCTTGGCTGCCTGACAGTTGTTTGATGCCTCTGCTTCGTTGACCACCATTATCTTAAAATTTGCGTCATAACTCCGCCTTAAATGTCTGCAAACTTGTCCACTCCGTTCTGGCCCGCAACTCTCCATTTTTTCATCTCTTATCACTTCTTCTCTGCTGTGATAGAAAGATGACCCCAGCCACAGTGAGGTCACTGACTTTAAAAAAAACTGGCACCCTCTGCTGCTGCGTTCGTCTAGCGACTCCAGACAACTGACAGCTTGAGTAAATGGCTAGACCTCGATTATAAGACGACCCCACATTTTCACATTGTTTTCAACAAAAAAAACCTTGTCTTATATTTGGGCCAATACAGTATATGCCTACGATTTTCGTGGTTGTTACACACCTTCTGAATACAGCGGAAATACATGTAGTGAATTATGCTAACTTGACTGAGTGCTTCATTTTC